AATCACACCGTCTATAGATAAATGGTGAGTTTGTTTTCAATGTCGTTAATTTAAATCAGCCGCTTCAATTATTTTGAATTATCTTAATTATTCAATTTACAAATATTATCTTTGAACAAATTGTTCAATTCAATTTAGGACGGTGATTTAGAAAGTATATATACGAGCAGTTGATTAATATTTCGAAACTGAATATTTATCTAAAATAAATATTTTAGTTTCCTTATGTTTTGGTGAACTAGTTAGGGGCCAGATAGCCCGAGTGGTTCAGGCGTCTGACCGTCTACGATCACCAGCCCTCTACTACTGGGTCGCGTGATCGAGGCCTACGTGGCGCAGTCGCCAGGCACCTGTTTAATTTTCGACAATGCATATATCAGTTTAGCATATAAATATCTCATTACACATAGTTTTTAATAATCCATTTGAATTTAATGCCTTGAAATACAATGCAAATTATAAGTTGGTACAACTTACCTGAAAATTATCCATTGATTTACTTGGAGTTTTCTTCGTCGTTTTGGTTGGTTTTCGAATAAGGTTTTATATTCAAACGTAATAATTCATATGTTTGTTGATAATGTGAATGATAGGTATAGGATTTTGTCGACATTGGTTCCGTTTGTGGTACTTGTAGATTTAATATTTTTTAAATGTAATAATTTCGCGCGCCATGCTTTACCCGTCATATGAAATGGAGACTCGTTAAACGCCAATGTATGCCGTCATTTATTGAACGTTTTATGATATCATGTTTTACTCCAATATCAAGCCTCGCTTTTATAAAATTTCTTGACCATAAGAAAGATGAATTTTCCGTATGGCATGAATAAGAGAAATGATTTTTTTTTTTTTTTTTTAATCAGATATTAACTTTTATTACATACTTACTAATAAATACGGGTTTTTTGTATATGCGATACGACACAATTACTCTAACCCATATCAGCCCTCTCAGTATCACACCCCAAAACCCGTATCAGCCCCTGCCGTATCACACCCCAAAACCCATATCAGCCCGCAAAACCCATATCACACCCCATTTGGAAAAAAAATCGTTTTTCAATATTTCAAAAATGAAAATAAATCATAAGATAGTAGTTTTTATTAGTAAGTATGTAATAAACAGAATAAAACACCCTTTTTCCAAATCACACCCAGTATCAACCCTTGTCCAATATCAGCCCGCGGGCCTTCGGCCCTTGGGCTGATATTGCAGTCTCGGGTTGAAACTGGGTGTGATGTGGAAAAAGACATGTATTATTCTCTATCTAATATTGAATTAATAACAGAAAAAAGCAAATATCCAACCTGTGAAAGGAATGTTCAAATCTGAGAAAATATTTATGTATAAAAACTTAGTACACCTTCCGCGATAGCAAGGGGCCAAGTAATATATCAATAAAATGAAATAGCATTTTAAAGGCTGGAAAGATATGCACAATTTACAAACAGATATGATGGAATGTTTGTATACCAGCGAAAAAAAGAAACTGCATGCGGAGAATTGTTATAGAACATGTATTACCAAATGTATATACATTAAAATTCACACACATGACCGAGTATGACATATACACACTATCGGTGTGTCATTGACAGTTTTTCCCGTGCAGATTGCTCTCTATAGGCATTGAACAGTTTGCACGTGTTTCTCGTCGAGCCATCCAATTCGACAATGAAAGTTTATTTTTCAACTGTTGGGTCGCTCTGTTGAGACCAGTGAACAGTAAAAACAGCATTATAACGTTTTATTTTGTGATTAATGCTATGCCGAGGCTCAATGAAAAAGACCGCCTCCGGATTATTGGTATGCTTCAAGCTGGTATGGCCCAAGCCGTTGTCTCTACACGTTTTCATGTCCATCGAAACACAATCCGGGATTTGTGGAGACGACATCAACAGTTTGGCCACGTCGGCGATCGACCTCGGGTGGGACGTCCACGGGTGACGTCACGTCAACAGGACAACCATATTCGGCTTGTCCATTTGAGACGGCAAGTTTGACTGCACGGACAATCCCTGGGGTGCTACCAATAAGCCCGAGAACTGTACGGAACCGATTGCGTGAACGAGCTATCCGTCCGCGATGTCCTGCAATCCACCCAGTTCTTCTGCCACGTCATCGTGTATCACGTCTGGACTGGTGCAGAGGGCATCTGCGATATACTCGACGGGATGTGGCAGGCATTTTGTTTACGAACGAGTCGCGAGTCCACCTGGATAGTAGTAACGGAGTGTATCGTCGCGTTGGAGAACGTTTCCGTGACGCGTGTGTGGTACAACGACGTTCTTTCGGCGGAGGCAGCGTTATGATTTGGGGCGGCATCACAGCCAACGGGAGAACGCCTCTGTTGGTTGTTAACGGGAATTTGAACACGCTACGTTACCGTGACGAGATCCTCCGGACCCACGTCGTTCCATTCGTGCAAGGGCAGCAAAGCCACATTACGCTACAGCAGGACAACGCCAGGCCACACACAGTTCGTGTCGCTATGGACTTTCTTGCCCAGCAGAACGTTGACGTGTTGCCGTGCCCTGCTGTATCCCCCGATCTGTCGCCCATTGAACACGTCTGGGATGAAATGAAGCGCATATTACGGGCATTACCTATTCAACCGGTGACGTTGGCTGATTTGGCTGCAGCGTTGGTACAGATCTGGAGTGCCATCCCACAAGCATTCTTGAACCGTCTGAAAGGCTCCATGCGTCGACGTTGCCGCGCTTGCATTCAGGCAAACGGTGAACATACGAAGTATTAACTTTGTGAACTCAGTATTGACCCCTGCTATGTTTACGTCACTCCTGAGCGAAACTTATTGACTCCATAACGTGGAAAATGGAATGCAACTGTTAATAAATAACAAATAAATTGTCCCTGAAAACCTTGTTGTTCAACGTCATACACATTTATTTTTATAACACATTTTAGGCATGCACAGTTTCTTTTTTCCGCTGGTATAGCTTTGCTTATGAACCAACCTTTTGTTATTATATACATATGGTTTCGAGCGGCACAAGTGCATGCAGTGTCTTAAGTGCACATGCACTCTTAGCTTCTAAGTGTTAAGACTATCATGAGCTGTGGAAATACATTGCATTAATTTCTGTCTCTTAACGTTATTACTACTTGTACAACAATAGGGTGTCTGCAAAGGTTGGCGTGTGTCGAAGTCCTACATATAAGGCTTGCGTGTTGGAAGTGATATCGGTAACTTGAGTGTTATGCTTTGTTGATAAAACGCGCATATGTACGGCAGATTGTGAACATTCACTGTAAACAATATTCCTTAGAACGATTCCCTGTGTTACGCACATTATCACGGAAGAATATATAAACCACCAGCTGTGTTTTAACACATGTTTTATACGTGCTTTATATGTGTTTTGTGTGCTGAATGCGTTATACGTGGAGGTTTAGGAAACGTTACAAAGCACAGTTGTGACTCTACCATATTCATAGTCTTGATAATGTGTGACGAATCATATTCAATAAAACAGTTAAAGCACACTGTTGCAGATATCGTCAGATATATGTGGCATCATCATGAAGTAGAATATTCTGGTATGTGTCTAAGTCCCATTATACCCATGGTATTGAATAGTGTGACATCTGTTTTTCTTACTGAATAACATGAAATGTTCGTTGTGTATAATCATTTGTGGGCTTTCTTGGAGGCTATAGAACCACGAAAATAGATAGAACAATTTTGATTTATATACTTGACTCCTCTTTGTTTATATGGCGGTATCCACGAAAGTTTGTACCACGAAACGATGTTAATGGCCTCAAGCCACGAATGAAAAATATCTACGAATATTTCATGTTATACAGTATATGACACGCTGACATGCTATTTTTCAGCCTCAATGTTAAGAAGTGAATTCGCTCGACAGTTAATTTGTACTCTAAACCCTCGTTGTCCTGGTGTTGCTGTGGGGACCGGGTTTATACCATATTACATACTAAATTGATATGTACCGTTTCTTGTGGGATTGTTGTTGATTGCAATCTGATGTAAACGGGATAATGTTTCAAGTTTTTGTGTTGAAAATCTCTGTGCTGGTTTTTTTACTGGCCGTAAATTAAAAGAACATATGATGTTTATTGGCTGATATATAGGAGAGTGAATTATTCATAACTTAGTAATGGTTTAGCTGAAATGATAGGGAACCTGTGGCAGGTTTTATCACAGCTATTATCTCACTATCCCGACAATCTTTCCAACACCGCCTTGATTGTGTTTACATAATACACAATACAATTAAAAAAGATACATCTAGAAAAACCGAATATGTAAAACGTTTCAATCTGTTTTTTTTGCATATTATCGAACCACTGAAATGGACATTCTTGATTTGTAATAACAGACTGTGTTCATAGTTGCGAATATAGTATAGACATGGATTTCACAGAGAATAAAATGTACCGGACATTAATAGATCCGAGCTTAACCGGATGTTTGTTAGGGTGCCAACTAAAGCATTATCTGGGTCTTTCATACGCTTATCATACTTGTTTAATTAATCGGAGTGTTATCATTTGATAAGTTATTATTCAAAGATACATAATGCATATAACCGCAAAGATTATCCAAAGTACGAAACCAGTTGACGTTCTAGATGTTTTATCATAATGAACTCTTTAGATCAAATACCTGTTGGCATAGGAGTACGGACTTCGCTTTGCTAATCCTTCCTTACTTTAACGTATACACGATAATCAAAGCCTTGTATTTGTTTTACGCCAGACTGGATTTTCAAGAGGTATTCTGTCCCTGTTGAGATGGGACTAGTTGGTATAAGTGATTCCAGATTTCATTCGGACGTTCTACTGGCACTAAAATCGTAACAAAAACAAATAGAGGATAATGACGGGATCATTTCGTTACTCAAATTAGTTGTTGTCTCTATAGCATTGTGTTCCAGGATTGGCTACCTAAGCCGCACACCTAGTGACGCAGGCACCTCTAAATAGCCCAGACAAAACGCCGGTGGATTCACGGCAGATCGGCTCTGCTGTCAAGGCCGAGTGTACATGTGTTTTCTTCATCATCAACGTTGTTTCGTAATATCTTTAATCTTTGTTTAATATGACTGATCCATCAACATTCCTGGGTTTTCTATAAGAAGACTCTATAATGCACTCCTAACTTACATTATAACTGTCGTGGTGAATTGCTCTCTGCCTTTGATGCGTGAGATACCTTTTTATTCATAATACCCTATGTAATATATAAAACCCTGTCCGTACTTCTCCACAGCAGTACTGCTATATCCTAGAGTACCCTGACCATTCTACTACAGTCACATGCCAATAGGCACTTTGGTACGGCCCACGTCTATGTCACCTGATATTCTGAATGCAACGGGTTCGTGTACATTCTCATGTTTCATGATCGGCCTGTCTCGTATAGTTAAATTGTACAGGGTTTTGATCATGTAAATCTTCCCTGTTTGTATATAGACTACAGGTAGAAGGCCGACACCTGTTGGTCGGTGTACTATATACTATATACCATCTGATCACAGTCAAGGTGGATCTTCTTATTCACGGATTTAATGCAAAGTGGTTAACGATATCTTTACAAACACCTCAGCATCTGTTGACAAATATTGGATTATATGCTTGTGTTAACAGAGGTAAGTAATTAGTTTTTGAAGTAATAAAACAAACACAAAATACAATGCACGATAAAATCGTAATTGATTCAAAATTTTCGAAATCTCATAACACCATATTTATATTTTATGATTGTTTATATCTTTATGTCTTAATAATTATTCATCTACATTTAAGTACTTAAGCGAACAAAAAGACAAGTTTTGTACTGAAGTGAAATACATGCATCGTATAAGACAAAATCCAAGCTGTCTTTACAGAAACGTTACTCAGTATCATAAAGTGTCTGGCAAAATCGAACATAGCATGTTCATCGTACCATTGATTACTCAATGTAACCATTAGTTTCTATATCTATGTAATCAATAACATTTAGGAGATGATGCCTATTTATAAGCTTCATATATGTGATAAGAAACCTATATTGTTTCATCTAATGGATGTTTTATTTATTTGGTTATTTTTTCAGATTTTTTTTTCTCACTGATTACACGTTTATCGCAATGTGGATGAAACATGTCGAAACTGAATTTGTAACAATTTAATGCATATGTTAGCCGTTACAAATATACTTGTTAACTGACAATTACATCGTTTAATGCCCAACAAAACCACACATACCGCAAACAGGGATGCAGTGCACCATGTACAGCATAGCGGTTACAGGACAGAAAGTTGTGGCAGGAATGACAGGTAAACCGCAGTGTTATTGTAACTGATAGTGTTATGGTTCGTGACCTTGGTGATAGAATGTTCACGTTTGTTGTCAATTTCAGATCAGTGCCATCGTTTGGGCTGAGTGGACGTAAAATGACTGCTCAGTTTGATTACATGCTTTGAGGTGCCCACAATACTGACCATGTGTCGTCAGATAGTTGTTCTGACCATCTTGGTGTTAGCAGGCGTTCGTTTCGGACATGGTCAAGAAACAACGTTGAAGGTAAGTGGAATAATAATTTAAGTGCTTTGTTTTGAAAGTAAAATGTTATAGTTTTAGATACAATATATATATATATACATTTTCAACATTTTAAGTAAATTACATGAAAATAGTTTATGTTATATTTTTAACAGCCCATCAACACTGTCAATGCCTAATTAGACATTATACTGTACATTGAAATACAGATTTTTCGCATTAAATCTTATACAAGTTCCCATTATTGATCTTGAGAGTTGTTTTTGTGTTAAATAAGTATCAATTGTTTTGTCATATTCTTTCTTTGGAATCGTTTTGAGGGAGAAATCGTCAAGGCTATGTGTGTTTGTTCTTGCTTTCACAACGATATGCAGGAGTGATGATGTGATTATAATCTCAAATACAAGTCAGCTAAGAATGTCTGTAAGATGTGTAACTATTCTATTAGAAAATGGTGTTAATATGACGGCTAATAGTTTGCTCCTGAATATGAAGAAGTAACACATGTGTTGACACATTGTTCTCGTAACAAGGACCTTAAGGGTTATTTGTTATATAAAAAACTACATATTACATGTTTTACAGTAGTCTGGTGGTAGGACGCCGGACTCGTGACTGACGGATTACGTGTTCGAGTCACGGCACGGCACTGTGTTGTATCCTTGAGCAAGATACTTTACTCCGCTTGTTCCAGTCTACTCAGCTGTAAATGAGTACATGGTTGGGCAGTGCTAGAATTGTTGAATGCTGTCTGTGAGCGCCGAAATGGCAGCACTGGCTGTATGCTCCCCAGGGTGTTGAGAAGGATATTGGCTGGATGCAAATGCCCTATAACCACGGATAATAATTTGTGAACCGCTTTGAGACGACCTACGAATTAGGTTGTGATAAAGCGGTATATAATAACCCCGAATTATTATTATTATTATTATTATTAGTTTTATTGAAGATATCATACGTAAGCAAACAGCTTCTCATTTTTCATTCAAGTATAGGGAAAATGTTTACATATTCCATGTTGCATAGAACCTGTCATTACTTAGAAGAAGAATTAATTTCCCAGCATCGACAAAGCGCTGTGGAAGATTTATACAATGTACTGTTTATAGTGTAGGTGTGCAGTGATGATGTAAAATGCAATTTAATATTGTCAGTCTGGTCACACTTGACGAGTAGTGGGGGGAGGAGACACTGCTGTTTTTCTCTCTCAGATGTATGTGTTAACTGACCTCAATGTCAGCCTGTCAAACATATCGCTGTCTGTAGGTGTCCGATGTATTGTGTGTGCTGGGTGTTAGTTTTCATTATACAGAAAACATTGTTAAGTTAAAATGTCAGTGTCCTGTTACTTTCTAAATAATGTGTTTAGATTTATAAGATGCAGTGCATATCAAATTTGTTTGTTACATCACTAAAGTGGAATGAAATGTCGAATGTTAAGAAGATAAAAGTATGTTTAATTAATAATGATGATCAATCATTATATTTTAGTATCAAATCCATCTTTTTCACGGTTATGATAACATTTTTATGAAGTACATTTCAGGAATTTTAACAGATAGTCAACAGTATTTTATTCAAACAAGTGCCTATTGTTGTTCTCCCTATGACACATGTATCTTTGCTGTTACTATACTTTTTATAATATCGTTAATGAGGACGGAAGCTTTCCTAACGCCCATGCATCATATTTCTCTGTTATATACATACTGTCAATATCGTAATCGTCAAAATCCATGCTATAAAATTGTCGTCTAATTTCGTAGGAAACCGTTTTGATGAAATGAAGAACAACGATATTATAATCGAGCTGGTTTATCTAGACAGGGAATGTCATGTCATTACCAACAGGGAGTTACAAGATACGAGACTTTGCATTAAAAAGAATAGCTGATTTGCTAGGGTAAACGTTAGATCTAAAATAAACTATTATAATATCATCTTAGCCGTGTAACGCAAACGATTAAAGATGTCTAAAATTTAGATATCTTCATGGCAAGGAAGATGTCAACATCATCTTGGTATGTAAGCATCAACTTCAGGACCCATGCACAGTTCACAGAGTAAAGAGAAATATGTAAAAGATGCAGAAACCATTTGCTGTATGAAATATCTCATTGTAGTACAAGTGCCACTGTGCATCGGGCATTACTTGTATCTCGCCCCAAGTTACAAAATGTATACAGCATAGGTATATTCTTATCGTTCTGAATAAGTACTTCATGATACATGCAACCTTACTCCGACAATATGTACTTAAGGGTACATGCTACACCTTACTCCAGCTATATGTGCTTTAGAATACATGCTATATGTACCTCACTCCGACAATATGAAATTAATGATACATGCTACCTTACTCCAACAATATGTACTTAATGATACCTTCCCCAAACAATATGTACTTAATGCTATCTTACTTCGACAATATGCACTTAATGCTATCTTACTCCAATAATACGTACTTATCGCTATGTTACTCCGAAAATATGTACTTAATGCTATCTTACTCCGACAATATGTACTTAATGAAACGTGTTACCTTCCCCCAATAATATGTACTTAATGCTATCTTACTCCGACAATATGTACTTAATGCTATCTTACTCCGACAATATGTACTTAATGCTATCTTACTCCGATAATACGTACTTATCGCTATCTTACTCCGAAAATATGTACTTAATGCTATCTTACTCCGACAATATGTACTTAATGAAACGTATTACCTTCCCCGAATAATATGTACTTAATGCTATCTTACTCCGACAATATGTGCTTAATGCTATCTTACTCCGATAATATGTACTTAATTCTATCTTACTCCGACAATATGTACTTAAGGATACGTGTAACCTTCCTCCAACAATATGTACTTAATGCTATCTTACTCCGACAATATGTACTTAATGCTATCTTACTTCGACAATATGTGCTTAATGTTATCCATTCCGACAATATGTACTTAAGGATACGTGTAACCTTCCTCCAACAATATGTACTTAATGCTAACTTACTCCGACAATATGTACCTAATGCTAACTTACTCCGACTAATGTACTTAATACTATCTTACTCCGACAATAGGCACTTAATGCTATCTTACTCCGACAATATGTACTTAATGCTAACTTACTTCGAAAATATGTACTTAATGCTATCTTACTCCGAAAATAAGTACTTAATGCTATCTTACTCCGAAAATATGTATTTAAGGATACGTGTTACCTTACTCCGACAATATGTACTTCAGAATACACGCTTATTTACTCCTACCATACGTACTTAGTGATACATGCTACCTTACCCCAACAATACGTGCTTAATGATACCTGCTACCTTACTCCAACAATACGTACTTAGTGATACATGCTACCTTACTCCAACAATACGTGCTTAATGATACATGCTACCTTACCCCAACAATACGTACTTAGTAATACATGCTACCTTACTCCAACAATACGTGCTTTGGGATACATGTACATGCTACCTTACTCCAACAATTCGTACTTAGTGAAACATGCTACCTTACTCCAACAATACATGCTTAGTGATAAATGTATCTTACTCCAATAATACGTAATTGGGGATACATGCTACCTTACTCCAACAGTACGTACTTCGTGATACATGCTACCTTACTCCAACAATACGTACTTAGTGATACATACTACCTTACTCCAACAATACGTAATTGGGGATACATGCTACCTTACTCCAACAATACGTACTTCGTGATACATGATACCTTACTCCAACAATACGTACTTAGTGATACATGCTACCTTACTCCAACAATACATGCTACCTTACTCCAACAATACATGCTTAGTGATACATGCTACCTTACTCCAACAATACGTGCTTGGGGATACATGTACATGCTACCTTACTCCAACAATTCGTACTTAGTGATACATGCTACCTTACTCCAACAATACATGCTTAGTTTTACATGCTACCTTATTCCAACAATACGTACTTAGTAATACATGCTACCTTACTCAAACAATACATGCTTAGTGATACATGCTACGTTACTCCAACAATACATGCTTAGTGATTCATACTACCTTACTCCAACAATACGTACTTTGTGATACATGCTACCTTACTCCAACAATACGTACTTCGTGATACATGATACCTTACTCCAACAATACGCACTTAGTGATACATGCTACCTTACTCCAACAATACTTACTTAGTGATACATGCTACCTTACTCAAACAATACGTGCTTAGTGATTCATGCTACCTTACTCCAACAATACGTACTTAGTGATGCATGCTACCTTACTCCAACAATACGTACTTAGTAATATATGCTACCTTACTCCAACAATACGTACTTAGGGATACATGCTACCTTACTCCAACAATACGTACTTCGTGATACATGATACCTTACTCCAACAATACGTACTTAGTGATACATGCTACCTTACTCCGACAATACGTACTTAGTGATACATGCTACCTTACTCCGACAATACGTACTTAGTGATACATGCTACCTTACTCCGACAATACGTACTTAGTGATACATGCTACCTTACTCCGACAATACGTACTTAGTGATACATGCTACCTTATTGCAACAATACGTACTTAGTGATACATGCTACCTTACTCCGACAATACGTACTTAGTGATACATGCTACCTTACTCCGACAATACGTACTTAGTGATACATGCTACCTTACTCCGACAATACGTACTTAGTGATACATGCTACCTTACTCAAACAATACGTACTTAGTGATACATGCTACCTTATTGCAACAATACGTACTTAGTGATACATGCTACCTTACTCCGACAATACGTACTTAGTGATACATGCTACCTTATTCCAACAATACGTGCTTGGGGATACATGTACATGCTACCTTACTCCAACAATACGTGCTTGGGAATACATGTAGATTCCACATGCAGGAAATTGTTTTATTTAAATAAATGGAAATGTGATTATTATTAGACAATCTTAATGTAACACATTTAAAGGGAGATA